TACAAGTTTAAACTTCATTATTGGATTTTCGAAATCATAAAAGTAGTTTAGATAATCCACAAAACATTACCTGAATTCCAAATAAACTTTTGTTACAAAGATTTAATCTTTGGGTATAAATACAAATAGGCTCCGACGGGCCCATGCTTCGCGGATAAGCCACATTAAGATAACAGGGTTTTGCAAATCGGTTAGGAAACCATGTTGGGGTTCTATTACCCAGAACCTTCACATGAAGAGCATTTGGCTGATTGTTGTGCTTCTACAGCGCATCAGAGTGCTATAGGGGAAAAAGAAAAGGTAGAAAGTATAGGATATTGGAGCACGGTGGGGTGACTCCTGTTTTATACACGATTTAACACACCTTGCTCCAATGAATTGTTACACCCGATAGTAGTTCATAGGGGTGAACATTTCTCATAGGCTGGGTTCAATTAAATTGCTGGCTTGGGCCCAGGCTGCTCCATTAGGTGACAAAATTCTTTCGACGCAATAATTTTAAAAATAATAATGAATACATAAAATAGCTCAAATTCAGTCATGCATACAATTTAATAAACCTTTTTTTTTAAGATATCAAGATAAGATATATGTAATTCAAGAATAGGGTGGGCCGAAAAAATATTTTTTTATCCGATCGAAACAGGGTAGGTTTTAAAAAGTGAATTTGGGGTCCTTAAAGAAAACTGCAAAATATTTTTGCTAAATAAAAAATATCTTCATTCTCTGCATTTGACTTAAAATTCCAGTTTTTTTGGAAAAAAAAACTTTTTGAAAATAATTTTGTACACATTAAGAAATGAGATAGAATGACCGGGTAGCGTTATATATGTTTGTTAACACTAATAGAATAACCCCAAATAGTTTCATTTGTCTTATGCAACATCTTCGGTGTGCGCAAGTACCACCATTTTGTGTGAAAATTTAATATTTATACGCGCGAGTTTTTAGTAGACTAAAGAACTGTACGCCAAATGATGATTGGTAATATAGACGTAAAACGTACGCCACAAAATAAAAAACGGATTATAATAAAAGAGAAAGAAACCACGAAGAGACAGGAAAAGGAAGAAAAAGAAAAGAAAGAAGTTGACAACTTAGACTTCCATCACGATTCAGACGAAACCGTTTTGCCACAAATCTCTTCTCAAAATAATACTACAGAAACACAGCAAACCAGAATTAATATAAGTACTTTTGCTAGAACGTGTGATCGATATGGGATACCAGATAGGCCTGCAACGGCTTTAGCATAGGCTTTGTTGAAGGATATGGGAATAAAAGAGACGTCCCAAAGTAGCCCAGTTTTTGACAATAATAAAGTCAGACGGGAAAGAGTAAAAATTCGTAAGGAAATTTTAAACAAAGATTTAGATGAAACCATTTATTGCAAGCGCTTTATTTTGATGGAAGAATTGACAAGACCTATTTCATTGAAACTAGTGAAGACGGGAAAAAACATCGTCGTGTCCATAAAATCTTTTATCTATTATTCAAGAACCAGGATCAAAATATGTAGGGTACGTCAAACCATTATCAGGGAAAGCTGTGGACATAGCTAATTCAATCGTGTCGTTTATATCAGATAAACAAATTAGTTTGTCGGAACTGGTTTGTGTTATATGTGATGGATGTCCAACTAACACAGGCAAAAGTAATGGTGGTATAAAAATACTGGAAACTAAATTAGACAAACCTTCACAATGGGTGGTGTGTCAGTTACACACCAATGAACTTCCACTGAGACATCTTTTTGAATTTTTAGATGGTCAAGCTTCTGGCCCTCATGGCTTTAGCGGTTCAATTGACAAAGCGTTGGCTGACTGCCACAAACAAACTCCAACTAAGTTTGAACCGATAATAAACAAAGTTGAAGTGCTGTTTCCAGATTAAAACAAGGTAGATTTGAGTATGGATCAGAAATATTTATACGAAATATGCAAAATAGTTACAAAAGGAGAATCACCACCAGGATTTGGGGATAGAAGTCCTGAAAAGTTGAATCATGCACGGTAGGTGACAACTGCCAATCGTGTACTCCGATTGTACATTGCATCTAATTCACCATCAGATCAGTTGAAAGATTTAGCCAAATATGTTGCCTTAGTTTATGGTCCAAGCTGGTTTACTATCAAATGCAATTACAAACTGAAGGATGCTTCAAGCAACCTTTGGAAAATGCTGGACTTTTCATCATATATGTCACACGAACAAAAGAAAGTGAACACATTCGTCAGCTTGCGATCAGACGAATAATAAAAGCCAGAAGAAAAAACGACAGAGAAAGTGTTCGACTTTTTGAAATTCCTAAAATAAATTTTTCTGCCAAAGAATACATAGATTTAATTTAATGGCAGTTTGTGGATATAACTGAGCCCCCTGTTAGCACGCATCTATCAGAAGAGGACCTTAACAGAATATTAATTGACGGCGTGTCAGATATTCTTCCAGAGGGTGTGCTGTGAAAATTACCGACACATACTCAAGCTGTCGAAAGAGCAGTAAAAGAAGTCACACGATCAGCACTACAAGTGTGCGATGAAAAGAAAAGGCATGAAATAATTAGAACTAGACTATTTGACAGAGCAGTATGGCCTAAGTTTGACTCTAAGAAAGAGTTTAAAGCATAAGCAAAAAGAACAACGTGCTCTGATGGTTGGGTGGAAGGGAGGGCACGGGTGGGACTTGACATGCAAGCACCTTCTCGTGGTGAGTCCTGGGTAGTTAATTATGAACTAGCGAAGAGTTGCATAAATGATGATATATTTTCCTCGGTAAATGTTCAGAAAAAAGCTGACTGTAGACTTTTCGTTTTGAAAACTAGACGTTTTGAAAACTAAATGCATGATCATGACTAAATCTGCACATGCAAATATCCAATTGACTATTGAAGATACTGCAATTGACAGTGTTAATAACTATAAATACTTAGGAACATGGATAACATCAGATATAGACCAAACCAAAGAAATTAAGACACGTATTGAAATAGCACGTACATCATTTATTAAACTTAAAAAGTTTCTTTGTTGTCGGGACATAAGGTTAGAACTACGTCTGAGAATGCTTCGATGTTACGTGTTCTCTACTCTTCTTTATGGTTTGGAAGCTTGGACACTAAAACAAGTTCATCTGAATAAGTTGGCCGCCTTTGAATTTTGGTGTTACAGAAGAATCCTACGAATATCATGGACTCAAAGAATGTCAAACATGGAAGTAACTAGAAAGATAGGAAATGAGGCGGAAATAATATTAACTATTAAAAGACGAAAACTTGAGTACTTGGGACATGTGATGAGAGGGCAAAAATACGCATTATTACAACTTACTATGCAGGGCAAAATCCGAAGAAAGCGAAATGTGGGAAGACGAAGAATATCCTGGCTTAAGAACTTAAGGGAATGGTTTGAATGCAGTAGTGCAGAACTTTTTAGAGCGGCAGTCAACAGAGTCCGCATAGCCATGAGGATTTCCAACCTTCGATAGAAGATGGAACTTAAAGAAGAAGTAGACTTTTCAAAACAACTAGACTTCAAATATTAGAAAAGGTAAGTGGTATAAAAATATTGTATTTAACCTTAAAATCACATAAATTGGTGGTTCTTGCGCACACTGAAGCTGTTGCATAAGACAAATGAAACTGTTTGGGGTTATTCTATTAGTGTTAACAAACATATATAATGCTACCCGGTCATTCTATCTCATTTCTTGTGTATAAAATTATTTCCAAAAAGTTACGTTTTACAAAAACAAACTGAAATTTCAAGTCAAATGCGCAGACTGAAGATATTTTTTTCAGCAAAAATATTTTTCAGTTTTCTTTTAGGACACCAAATGCAACTTTTAAAACTTACCCCGTTTTAAATCACCGAAACTAATCAAGAACCTATAACTAATACTGAACCACAGAAACAGACAATCAGAATAAATATTAACTATTCAGAAAGAAAACCTGGCACCTAGATTACATAATGGGAAATGATAAATATAACTGGCTAAGGCTTACAATGGATAGAACTATAGGAGGCAGTAGGGACGTAGAGAGAAGAGCAATATTATTGTTTTGCAACATAAGATTTTGGACAGGAATAAATGTTAAACAAAAACTATAGTTATAGCGAAGTAATAAAGTGCTTCAAAGCAACAATATACCCACTTATTTAAAAGTACAAATCCTCCCTGTACACAAACTAACACACATACTCACAAAATGTGTATAAGTCCAGTATTCTTCAAAAGTATAAATAACGAGTTAATATGTGATAATTTTCCTTCTACCTAAAAGTCTATTAATACTGAACCATACATAAAAAATATTCAATATTAAATTTTAATAAGGCGGCTGTTTTTTATGCATTAGAGAGTATTTCATTTCATATTTCATAAAAGTCTTTTAACATATAAATGATGTTTTTCCAATATATTTGACTTTTCGTTTACTAACCTGTCAAGATTGGTATTTTCTTTTTCAGCTACTTCTTCTTCAATATAGGTAAACAAATTTCATTACGTTTCTCTAAAGAGCTTGCAAAGCTTATTGTGTAGCTTTTAATGTCTATTTATTTTTAACATTTATTAGTTATCTTCAGGTTTCATTCAAATAACATTTTTCGCATTTACGAGATATCTTATAAATACAATTTCTATACTTACAATACAATTTATGTTGTATCTTAAATAAAAATATATATCTAAATATACTTACTAGTTGTTGTTAAAATATTTTTTCTTTAACTCTTTTTATTTTCTATTTATTTTTTTTTATTAAACTCACAGAAATACACAAGGAAACTAAGATCCTGTAGTTGCTGTATACCATAATATTTAAAAATCTTTTAGAAAAGGTATATAATTTAATAATTAATATACACTTAATATAATTAAAATATACCTTTTATAAAGGATTTTTAAATAAATGTTTTACAGAAATAACATTAAGAAATTTAACAATTTTTAGAATTTTAAGATTAAAAAGTAATTTATCTTTTTTTTTTTTTTAGTGTTACAGAATTTTAAAAGATGCTATGACAAGTCTAAAAGGCGAACCTCAACCGAGTGGTTATCCTTTCCAACCTGTTCACGCATACGTTCTCAATCCAAAGTCGATAACTATGGGCCAACTATATGGAGAGTTTGATCTTCAGACGCATGAATGGTATGAATGACTAATTTTTATTGCTTTGATGCCGCTATTTGATTTTGTTTATGTTATTCCCGGATATTCTAATAACCTATCGTTGATGGCCGGTAGGGATAAATGTATCGAAAATATGTAATAATAGTACATAATATGTATGAATTTGTATACGTATATATATATATGTATAAATAAATAAAACTGTTTTGGATGGGTTGGAGTCAATAAAAGGGGCTATTTGTTGACTATTTTTTACTTGAGCTTTCAATTGTGATTACAATTTTTATCAAGAGCTTCTAAAAAATACAAAATATGTTACAAAGTTGAACTAGAAATAAAAAATTTGTTGTTAACTCACCAAATAAAATTAGTTTTTTATATAAAGTTGCTGCTAACATTATTACAAAAAATATTATTAAAAAAATTCCCTATTCTAATAAATGTTTCTCTGAAATAAATTTTGATAAAGTTTCTTAACAAAAACAATTGAATTCGTAAACAAAAATTGAATAGCTACGAATCAGCCTAAATGTCATAAATACCAACTTAAAAATTTTTATCTTTAACATATTGTCAAAAATAAAATTTTGTTTAAAAAAATTTTTTTAAAACTTTTTTAAACTTGTTATTCAGTATCTTATTTGACAAATAAATATTTTGTATTTTATATGTCAGATAATTTTAATTTATTTTATCTGTAATCTATGTATATTAACTTATTTTGTATTAAATCGTTCCTTAAAAATATTAATATGTAATACGTTTTATTAGTTATGTTAATATGTAATTAATATTTTTTTTATTATTAATTAAACGTATCGTTTCAAAAACAAAACAGGATTGACGTTGGCAATTATAATGGCTATTTTTATTTTAGAACTTGCTGCTCTAAACACATCATTGATATCTACGTGATTAATACCAATCACGTAGATTATTTATCTATGAGTTCTGCCTTCGGCCAACAGATCTTCTTCCTTGATTCTTTCCCTCTATTGTGAGCCTCAAAATTTCATATTTTGGTCCCCTCATCACGTGGCCTACGTATTCCAGTTTTCTGGTTTGTATAGTGGTGATTAGTTATCCTTCTATAACGTGCGTTCAAAGTTGAAAATTTGTGCGGAAGTGAATAAGCAAAATCATAACATATGTAAGATATAGGTAAGAGAGAGACAGAAGATACATTTTCTCTCTCTTTCTTTCTCGAGAATAAAAATATTCCTTTTGTAAATATATTTGATATTTATTAATATTATTATCATGGTAAATTAAACATATACGTAAGTAAGTTTTGTATATTGTCATTTTTATATTTTTTATATACTTATGAATATTGCATTTTAATTTGTATTATATAATTATACTGAATTATGTTGCAATGTATTGTATTGTATTTTTATATTATTAACAAAATTAACAATGAATTTTACTGCAGAGTATGTGTAATTTCTTTTGCATTCAACTCCTTTTATGCATATATGAATATATATATATATATATATATATATATATATATATATACATATATATATATATATATATATATATACATATATATATATATATATATATATATATATATACATATAACACTGTTTTTAATGGGTTGGAGTCAATAAAAGGGGCTATTTGTTGACTATTTTTTACTCGAGCTTTCAATTGTGATTACAATTTTTATCAAGAGCTTCTAAAAAATACAAAATGTCTTACAAAGTTGAACTAGAAATAAAAAATTTTTTGTTAACTCACCAAATAAAATTAGTTTTTTATATAAAACTACTGCTTACATAATAAATACAAAAAATATTAATAAAAAAATGCCTTATTCTAATAAATGTTTCTCTGAAAAATTTAGATGAAGTTTCTTAAGAAAAAAAATTGAATTTATAAACAAAAATAGAATAGCTACAACCAGCCTAAAATGTCATAAATACTAACTTAAAAATTTTTATTTTTGACATATTGTCAAAAATAAAATTTTGTTTAAAAAATTCTTTTTTGTTAAGTAACAAAAAAGAAGAAGATTTATTCACCATTGATAGATGGTGAATAAATATAAATATCCTATAGACAAATTAGATCAAACAAATGTAGTATACAGCATTGTTTGTACTCAGTGTGAAGCTGAGTATATTGGTGAGACTGGAAGAAATCTCTCAAATCGCATTATTTCTCACAAGAGTGATTGTAGAATTAAGAAACCATCTTGTGCTTTGGCAGAGCATGTAATAGACAAAGACCATATTATGGATTTTGATAATATTAAAATTTTATGTAATGAAAGTAATAAATTTAAAAGAACTTTTTTGGAAATGGTTTGTATTAGCAAAAGTGATAATATTTTAAACAATAACATAAAATTCAAAATTTAAGCAAAATTTATAATTATATAATTTCTATTTAATTTATGCAGTCAGTAAAATATCACATTTTGAATTTTCCATGTATTTGTTACATTTTTTCGGGCATCTATCAATGGTGAATAAATCTTCTTCTTTTTTGTTACTTAACAAAGAAGAATTTTTTAAACAAAATTTTATTTTTGACAATATGTCAAAAATTAAAATTTTTAAGTTAGTATTTATGACATTTTAGGCTGGTTGTAGCTATTCTATTTTTGTTTATAAATTCAATTTTTTTTCTTAAGAAACTTCATCTAAATTTTTCAGAGAAACATTTATTAGAATAAGGCATTTTTTTATTAATATTGTTTGTATTTATTATGTAAGCAGTAGTTTTATATAAAAAACTAATTTTATTTGGTGAGTTAACAAAAAATTTTTTATTTCTAGTTCAACTTTGTAAGACATTTTGTATTTTTTAGAAGCTCTTGATAAAAATTGTAATCACAATTGAAAGCTCGAGTAAAAAATAGTCAACAAATAGCCCCTTTTATTGACTCCAACCCATCAAAAACAGTGTTATATTTTTTCCAAACGAGTCACAAGTACTTCTTTTTTCTTACTCTTATATATTCATATATATATATATATATATATATATATATATATATATATATATATATATATAGATACAACTATATATATATATATATATATATATATATATATATATATATAGATACAATATAGATATAGATATATATATATATATATATATATATATATATATATATATACACATAGATATATATATATATATATATATATATATATTAATATATTGATTCAATCCTTCATTTACTATACTCCCATTACAGGTCAAACGTTTATATACAGCAAACGATACACCATATACCTATATACCTAATTATTTTTTTGCTTCTGCTCTCTCTTACCTATAGCATTACATATGTAATGATTAGCAGATTGACTCCTATATAAATTTGTTATGACGAACGCGTGTATAGAAGTATAACTTCTACCGGCTGGACTGCCACACCCGATTTTTAATTTTTCTTTCAGTCGTCATTGTTCGCGTATGAGGAATTATTAGAGTTGCTCAATAATTCAGATTTCGAAAATAAAAACGACACATCCAGTTCTGATGAAACAGGAACACATTGTGAAGATATATCTAGATCTATTTCGCCCATTGTAGAAGAAAGTGATTCCAGCGATGGTTCTAGATGTTTATCTTTGCCAGTTATTTGGGATACGTCTTTTGTAACTCAACCTTATTCTTCTGGATTCTCGTCCTCGTCTTAAGGAAGACATTCCTTAAGACGAGGACGGGGACAATAACGAGAGAGAGGCTGTGGCCGTATTGCAAGAAAAAGGAACGTGGGAAGAGGTAGACAAACGACAAGCATGCAATCTAGAGTTAATAAAAATAACGCTTTAACTGATAAATGGTGTGGCATATTTACTCCAGAAGTATCATCATTGTTAGAGCCTACATATTTACTAAATAATATAGGATTCTGGGAGTGGTACGCATTCTTTTATCAATATATTTATGATACTATTTTTTTGAAAATAGTGAATTCCACTAATAGAACCGCTATTTTAAATAAAGGAAAAACTTTGGTGTTATGTTTACGCGAAATTAAAGTTTTTTATCGGCATTACGATGATAATGTCAACTTTGCAGTACCCACAAATAGACATGTATTAGGCGCAAAAATGGAAAATCCCTATTGTTACAAAAGCAATGAGACATCAACGCTTTTATGCCATCAAAACTTCATTAAAAGTAGTTTTTGATTCCGATATAGATGTGGAACAAAGACGCAATAAGATTTGGAAAATAAGGCCTTTATTTGATAGGATATGTAAAGGTTGTCGAGCTCAAGAACTCACTAAATCATTAAGTATTAACAAAATTATTATTCCAATAAACCAAATCCTGTAGGGTTAAAAGTTTTTGTTCTGGCCGCTCTACAAGGAATTGTATGTGATATAATTATATATCAAGGGGATTCAACATTTTCACAATTAGCTAGTGACGGTTTTTAATTAGGAAAGTCAGTTGTATTGTATCTAGTAAGATCACTGGTACACTTCCCGTCATATAAAACTGGTACACTTTTTTTCCCAATGTAAACCTGTGTTCAGACCGGACACAATGGTTCGTGAATCAATTCGTTGTTGCCATCACATATAACGGAATTGCACTAAATCTAAATAAAAAAAATATCGTTCAAAAATGTATAAAGTTTTTAGATAGGCAATATTTTTATCATTAACCCAGATATTACTACCGTCCTTTTAAAAGGCAGTGTAAATTATGCGTAATTTAGGTTAGTACAGCTACCAACTGATAGATGGCTCTAGATGGAGTGTTTTCAAGAGCCAGCATTCGACAAGTTTTAACGATTTTAGTGCGCGCACATGCTGTAATTGTGAGGTTATCTGTGTAAATTGCCAGGTTTTGGACTACAAAATGGATGCTTATAATTGGGGGTAAGTCTAGAATTAAAAAACTGTTATTTCACGGCATTGGCATGTGGATTATTGTATAATAGGGACTTATGTACGTATATTCTTTTCTCGAATTGTTGTCACGTTGTTTCAAAGGTTCGCCGCTTGGGATTTCATTTTGTTCTTTTAAAAGGA